GTATTCCTACCTAGAAAGATGTTGAGCTGGAAAAAATAAGCCTGGACGTAAATGGCGTGCGTGGGGATTTCTCGGTAAAAAGGAGAGCAACCAGAGAATGGAAAACGCGCGTCAACCACCAGAGCAACAGGAGAGCTTCTGGCAAAGAATGCATTGTGAATGTATCGGATTTTACAGAACATTCAGCTCTCTCATGATGCCATGGGTTTTTGTCCCGCTTTGATGTGTTTTGTCACCGCGCGCGGTAAAGGAAATGCGAGATTTATTATTTTGAAATGAAAAAAGAGCAGTGTATGGCAATAATTGGGACATGTGGGGACGGACGTTTCGATTTCTATTGTGGCAGTTTCGAGTGCTTGCCGTGGGGATTGTAACATTTCGCTGTTTACGTGAGCTTCGGAATGAGAGCAGGAGGAAGTGAAAAACTGTCAGTTGAAACAGATCCAGAGATAAAATATTATATATTTTTTAAACGAAAATATAAAAGTATTTAGGCTGTATTTTTCATCAAATTTAGAAGATTAATTTAAAATGATACGTATGTCATAATTATTAAAATAATAGCGATCTAAACTAGGTTATAAGAGCAAGTTTTTTAATTGTTGCGTTAAAAATGATATTACATCACACAAAATGTAAAATGTGCACCAACTCTTACGATTTTAATAAAAATTAGCTTTCGAATCTTTTAAATTCAGCGGAAAATGGCGCTAAATTAGATACTTAAAAATTTAATTTTTACAGCAATTGGAAAGAATAATTAAAATTTTCTGTTGTAATTGTTACATTAAATTTTTAAATTTTCCAAATAAGGTTTTGAATTTCTTTAATTTTGCTAATTAAAATAAGCTGAAGTGTTATACTTTTTTTAAATTTAAAATTTATTATTTATAATCCATATTTTTTTGTAAAAAGTTTAATAATTTTATTAATTTTGCGTTTCTAACATATCCAGCAGATGTGCATTCAAATTGAATTACGCAATTCATCAATCAATTCTTGTACTTACTGGCCGAAAGAGAAAGTACATGAGCAATATCGGAAAACAGTTTATTTGTTTAATGACAATTGAATCGAAAGGCATAACCGGACAATTCCAATTCCATTACTCTGGCTGATGATTTTTCTGTCTGCTCATCTCTGAGTTACGAAACAGACAAAAGTAAAAATTTCTCCAACCGATAATAACAATAATTCTTGAGCCAGCACGTGGTTGATTCACTGCTGCAGGAAGTCCATAAAATTTTAGTATATTTGCGCTGAACCCAGAAAAAGAAAGAAAAAGAATGAATGGGCCAACACACAGGAAGACTGTATTTATTTTCCAAATTACATAAAAGAATACAGCGCAGAGACGCCTTTTCCTTCATCCTTTGAAGTCGTACTAAAATCTCGTACTTTATGATATATTTATTTTTCCGTTCTTAAAAGAGAAAAAGTGACCAATAAGTTGGAAATTTTTATATTCGGAAAGGAATTTCGTAATAAGTGCAGCGACCGCGACGGCTGGCGGAGAGACAATTGCAGGTGTGGCGCACGAGGAAATATACTTGTCACTTGCTTATCTCGCTGCTGCTGCTGCTGCTGGGAATGGGAAGAAAAATACAACGTCTCTCGCGTTTATTTCTATAGCAGAGCGACCGCTTTGTCTTCGCGGGCAAATAAATAAAAATAACAAATATTGCCGCGTCGTCGCCGCGCGTGAGCGGCTGCGAAATTCGACGTTTTTCTTTCATCCTGCGTTTCATCAACATATTATATACGCAGCAGCCACACGTCGGGCTGATGAGAGGAAACAATCGGCTCTTTTTGTTTCGACAAAGTTCATGGCCCCTCTCTCGAGACGGACAAATCATTCGCTTGAAAGACGATCTGCTTTGCCCGAAGACAGATGGAAATAAATATTTGACTGCAAAAAATAGCGGATATTTTTGAAACCGCAAAGTTTTACGCAACGAGTGACAATCTTTGTGGTTTGCATCTCTTTTAGAAATCTATAAATAATATTTATGAGAAATTTTCAATTTTAATTAATTTTTATGGCAGATTTTCCTGAATTATTTGAAAAATTTTAGTTTAATTCAAATATTTTTGCAAGATTTAAAACTTCTTTTATAAATTTATTGTAAAAATTGAAATCATGAAAACAAAATTCATATTCAGAAAATGGTTCTAAATTATTGGAACGTCTTGAATGAAAAATAAAGCGACTTTTTGCCACCAGCCTAAAATAATATCATAATCCACATATTATAATATTAGTTGCAAATGATATTTGTTGAAATTTTTAAAATATATTTTTCTTATATTTATAAAATTTAAACGATCTTATGTTAAGATGTTCTCATTTCACATTAATGGGTCTGATCTGAGCGATTTATGGGATTTATGGCAGATTGTGTGATTTCCACTAATGCAAATACTAAGAGAAACGAAAGTGACTGAGCACACAATCGACTCTTGAAATCGAACTCGAAAGCACACACACGTGGTATTATGAGTGCACAGCACATTCCAATAACTCTCATGTTTAAAAAGCAATTACTTTTTTCAACTGCTCGTGGAGAGATGCAAACTTGGCTCAGCGCAAATAGGGCACAATTACGGCAAAAATTTCTCTCTCGATCCTGCAGAAAATCAGCAGCACACAATCGAAAAGCCCTGGGCGACCTTTTGTGCAGCCATCGATCCTTTTTTTTCCAATGCTCCAAATGTGAAAGCACAAATAATATCGCTCGACGAGAGCGAAACTGCTGCTTTCCTTTCCTGGCGCGATTTGACACTCGTGATATGTAATTTTTAACGAGAGAGATGAGCCACTAAAATTTTTGGAATGGACCATAATATTTTGTTACTTTTACGAAAACTACAAGTTTCTTAATCGCTTTTATATTTGTCAAGGTTGATTAAGAATCGTCTTGTTATTAAATGACCTTTTCTTTCTTCGCCGAGAAAATAATTATTTATACACGATTATTTTAATTATTGACTTTCACTGTCTGAACGGCCAGCAGACCGATAAATAATAACGCATGGAAAGGGCAGGGAGAACACATTTGAAATGACATCGCGGTTTGTAATTACATGAGTTATTGTCACAATCCTTCGCTTGGCTGCGCACTCAAGAGCATTTCTGCGGAATGAAAAATGAGAATCAAAGCTTAGAGACCCAAGTAGAAATTTCCTGGAATTTTTTATTTTAATTGGATCATTACATTGTGTACAACGATTTATTATAAAAAAAAATCTGATTTAATTAATCTACGTAATTGAATAAAATAGAAATAGTTTGAAATATTATTAATTTTCTAATTTCTGCTATAGGGGTACATTTTTTCCACTACTTGATTAGTTCCATATGATATTTTGAGTGAAAATTTCGCGGTTTTGCATAAAGATTTAAATTAATCAAATAGCATATAAGAGTAGAAAATAAATTCTTCAGAAGCTGTAGATAATTCAAATTTTGGCACATTGCCTGCGTACTCGCCGTTATGTTTATCCCTGTAATGACTAATTGCCCATTTTCTCACCGTTTAATGACATTAGCGCTTTTCAAAGCTTATAAAATTCCAGCACAGAAAGAAAGGATAATGCATAAAACGCACGTGAGGTTTTCTTTACGAGCAACCGGCGATAATTAAAAGCGTGTTTCGCTGCATTAAGGCAATAAATTTGTGAATGCAAACGTGCCAGAATAGTAAAAAAAATGACAATGCCGCAGAGCGATGATTCATTACGAAATTGCTGCGCGCCGAGATGAATTCAAATGAGCGTCCCATTCTTCTCAATATATTTTGCTGTGGACGTTTTTTGTTTTAAATGTCACCGTTCGTCATTTAATGCGATGCGTGCCAGATTAATAAATAAAATTCCACATACAGTTTATTCTAAACAAATGGTCAATATTTTGATCTAAATTAGAAGAAAAGAGCTTGATTTTTAATTTCAATGTATCAATATAAAAAAAAAACTAAAGTTGAAAATACGTGATGTTCCAGAATATTTTAAATTGATAATCTGACTCTTAAATTATACAAAACTAACAATTTTCTAATTTTTTGTTTCAGGTAAGTGTTTCCAATCCTGACAAGGAGCGAAAACTTAAGTCCCAGTTGGCAAGTAAGATCAAAACAATATTGATTGATTTTCCTTTTTCAATTTAATCCTTTTATTCATTTTAATCACAGTCGAGTGATTTTCTATAACTAATTATTCAATTGACGTAAGACTCTAAGACTTATTGCGAGCAAGTCATGAAAAAAATCAACCAAATATGGCTAAACAACTTCGGCTTGCGTTTGAGAGGCGCCGGCATTGCAAACGCCGAGAGATGCATTTTAATTCCCGATTGTAAAACAAACCGCGGCCGAGAGTGGAATATGAAAAGAAAACAACTCACGATTTGATTTTTATCTGCGGCATTGCTTATAACAATAACAATAATAATGAGGCCGCGGCAGCTTGTCATAAAGCGCCGGCCGAGAGATGATCTTTGCTCGGTGCAACGTTTCGCAATTTGTGTGCCGCATTTCCTGAAAGTCTCATTTGGAGATGCAAATAGGGCCATAACCGGAAACACGAAACAATATTTATTAGATTTTTAACGCTTTTGTTTATTCATACAGATTTGAGAAAAAAAATAGAAAAGGACAAAGAAAATTATCATAAATGAAAACACTTAAATTAAAAATTACTATAAAAAATTTATTGTCCTGTTTTTAACGTGGGTTCCAGCTTCCAAAAACACTACTTCTTTTTAAAGTTCTCCAATAGTGTTATACAGAAACATAATAAATTACTTTCTTTTATGTATAACAAGAAAGCAATTTTATATAAATGTCCAAACAATTTATTCATTTAACAACTTTATTTTGATTTTACACAAATAGCACAATGTAACCGAAATCTGCAATTATAGATACTCAATTTATTCTAAACTGAAATATTCTCAACCTTTGCAAACAACTTAAAAAACTTAAAAAGATTAATTAAACATGCAATTTTGTATCAATTAATTAAACTAGTAGAGAGTTATATTCACAAATATAATTTAAAGAGGTTTTGCACCCCACTTTGCCGAAAGTGAACTTCGATGTGACGTTGTCGTATTCAGCGTAGACGCACTCTTTGCTCAGGTCTTTGCTCGGTTCTCCTGGTGCCCAAGGTATGTGGTCACCTATCAGAGGTTCGTCCCTGCCGTTGCACCACTTGCCGATTAATTTCGGGCAACCAAACGATGTGCCCGAAACCCAGTATCGATTCTTCGGAACTTTTTTCCCTGCAAGAAATATTTTTTAATTTGCAAAATTAATTAAAAAATTGCTTTTTCTGAACCTCTGAACAAATCTTCTACGCAAGACAGTTTTTCCTTTGTCTCGAACCCTATGAAAGTGGAGTTGTCCACGCAGCACCACTTGTATCCACCAATATACGTGTTCTTTGGAATATATTTTTGATGAAAAAATTTTCTAATTGGGTCAAGGAATGTTTACTTTTATTCCTGCTGTGTTGATGCCAATCTCTTTCGATCCACAACCAGCCAAAGTTATGTACGAATCTTTTCTATAATTATCCCCTAATTTGAAGAAATTATAGAAATAATAACCACAAAACATTTTGATCTAATTAATTATTTACTCATGACTTTTAAAACTGTGTTGCCTAATTCAGTCTACAAGTTTAAATAAAAATTTCAACGTAAAACAATTTTTCATTTAAAACTTGCCTCCTGTGAGCATTTGAACTTTATGCATCTGACATCTGATATTGAGCAATCTTTTAAAAGTTTTTGCTGAAATATAATTTTATTAAAAATAAAGCTTTTAATGATTTCATAGTTAAATACTTTGCAAATGGCTTTTCTTTGAGACTTTTTCTCATCGTTTTGCAAAACGACCAAACCTTCTGTAGGAATCTTGATCGTCAATGCTGTTTTTTTGCCCACGTCGCTAGGCAGAGTCAAATTCAGACTGTCCATGGGGATCATTTCCCGCCTTGAGCACCACGCATACGATTTCGGACAGGGATCGCTGTCGCCCGAAGTCCAGTATTGCACTTCGGACAGTTTTCTTTCTTTGGGGAAAATATATTTTGGACTAAAATTTGATCAGTCGTTTAAAATAAAGTTTTTACTCCGAAGTTCATCAGCCAAGCAGCTCATCTCGTTTATCGTCTCAAAACTGAGAAGATCCATGAATTTGGTGCAGCAAAACGCAAGGGCGGAAGTTTGGTTCAACTGGAAATTTAGGTTAGGATGTGAGGGAGAAAGCAATTAATTTTTACCATGAGTTTGGAAATGACGTATCTCCGTCCACACGCATCAAATTTGATCCCATCTGCGTCAACTGTTAACAAACATAATTTAAAAATTTCGACATTTTCTCTTTTTCACGAACCTAAACCAAATGTCTCAGGTGTCTTTAAAAAATTTCTTTAAATATCAGCAAAGGAACAAAATAAACTTTTAAATTGTTACTTCATCACCACATTCTCCTGATGAGCAAGAGGGATAACATTCTGGGGTCTAGAAAAATTTAAAATGTTTATTTTTTAGGTTTTTTTATATTATTTTTACAGTTTTGAATGTCGAATTCTTCATTGTGTTGCAAAAGGTGTCATGACATATCTCAGGCAATGTGCAAACGAAAAAGTTCTTTTCGTTGCATCTTTTCTTTTCCGTAACAATTGATTTTCCAACCCTAGGTAAGAATAAAAAATAATTTAATAATTTAAATCCCTGATTAAGACCCAAGTTTTCTAACTTTTTGAATACATAGCAGTCGGGCCAGTATGTAGTATTTGTCATGTTTATTATTGGTGCCCAAATTTGATCGTTTGCTGCCCAATCTATTTAATTGAAAATTATTGTTATTGCAACTTGAACAAAAATTAATAATTGTGAACCTATTTTCATGATTTCTAACACCGAAGCGTCAACCTCAAAAAGCAGTCCGTGATGCCGGCAAAACTTTTCAGCATCAAAACGAGTTTTCTGTAGACATTTTTGCATTGAGAAAAATGTTAGCCAAATTTGAAATAATTACGATTATATTTTCCAAAAATAATACAAGTGGAAAGTCACTATACTGTCGTAGTTGAAGTTCTTTTACTATATTAAAAAAGTCTCTTGTTTTAATTTTACAATTTAAGCAACAAACTTACATCTGAGTTTGCAAGCAGCCGTAATTTGCCTTTTCTGGAAATGATTCGGAGTTTGTTGAACAAGAATTTAATTCAATAAATTGTACCTCAACGGTGCAGTCTACAAAATTTTGAAAAGGTCGAAAAACGAGCTCACGCATTTTGGGCTTGAGCGAAGCCGAATCAATTTTCGTTCCGTTTGAAAAACTCCAGCACTGGTGCAAACAGCCGTACTCTTTGTAAAACTGCCTCCATTGCACATCAGCTCCTATGGAGGAATAATTAAAAATTTAAAATTTAATATTATAAAATTTCTTACAACCTCTGATAAAAATGTGCTGCACGCTCAAGGGACAACTGATTTGGCTCTCCTTCTTCAAGTCCTGGGCTGTCTGATAAAATTAAATTGCTATTAAAAATAAATAAATTATTGCCTCTGAAATTTTTTACCATTAAAACAATGGAGATTGAGTTGAAAAGTACAGATAGTTCCCATTTGGTGAAACGCATGTCTGTGACGCTCGCTGAACTTCTGGGCCGTGGAGGTCTGTAAGCGTCACTTCCGTGCAGCGTTGATATTGAGCGTCAAAGTTATTTCTGTGGCAATAACGCAAGCACGGGCCATCAACGTGATAAATGGCTGCTGTGATGCGCATATCAACAGGTCGACAAAGGCTTCAAATCATTTCAAACTTTGTTTCCGGCTAACATTTTCTTTATTTTACATTATAAATTTATTCTGTAAATTAAAATCCATTTAAAATAATTATACACAATTTAATTATAAATTTGTCACTAAAACAGATAGAATTTAAATGTATCTTCTGTTGATTTAATTAACAAGAAAAATTATTTCTTAAGTTGGTATTATTTCCTCGCAAATGTAATAAAGGGCAGTTTTGCAACCTGCCTTGCCAAAAGTGAATTTCGAGGTGACGTTGTCGTAGTCAGTGTAGACGCACTCTTTGCTTGGGTCTTTAGACGGCTCCCCCGCTGCCCACACAATGTGGTCACCAATCAAAGGTTCATCCCTGCTATTGCACCAACGATTTATGTTCGGACAGCCGAAGGATGCGCCAGAAACCCAGTACCGATTCTTTGCTACTTTTTTCTCTGAAATTAAATAGAAATTTGTTTAAATAATATAAAAATAACTTGTTGTCTGACCTCGGAAAAGGTTCTCCAGGCACGTTTGTTTTTCTATCGTTTCAAATGTCAATAATGTTGCGTTGTCCACGCAGCACCATTTGTATCCTCCAAAAAAGGTGTTCTTAGAAAATTAATTGTGATAAATAGTTCTTGATTAGATAGTTTTAGAGAAACCTTCCAATTTTCTTGATTGATGCTAATTTCTTTTAATCCACAGCCAGATATAGCAAGGAATCCTTTTTTGTAATTCGCCTCTACCAAATTTTATAAAAATGTTTATAGGCAAATTTGAAGTTAGAGCAAATTTCATCATTACTTATTCCCTTGTACAAAGATATTTTTTCACCAAGCTGTTCAATTTAAATTCAAAATAAATATCTATTATATATAATATAAATCGATCATTTCTGACCTCAACACGGCATTGTAACTGCAAACACTTCATCTGTGTGCAATTCTTTGGATGTTCACTCTAATTTTGTACGGTTGTAATTTTGAAAAGGATTTGAAATAATTTCTCAACTTCGCACAATGTCCTCTTGAAAATTCTCCGCTCATCACTTTGGAAGACCATTTGTCCTTCCTGGTCTTCCAAAGCTTTGACCAACAGCCCAGACTTTTTACCGCCCTCCGTGGACAAACTCAAGTTCAGTGCTTCCTGATTCACAAATTCCCCAGTAGAACACCAGGCGAATGATTTGCTGTCCTGACAAGGTTCCGAGTCACCCGAGGTCCACAACAAGATATTTGCCAATTTTCTCTCTGATTTCTCCGCTGGATAAACAAGCAAATTTTAGAAATAGAAGATACTCACTTTTCAATTCGCTGGCCAGGCAACTCGATTCTCGTTTCGTCTCCAAGCTTGCCAGTTCCATGAATCTGGAACAGCAGAACGTTGGCGCGTAGCTGCGATTGTGCTGAAAATAAACAGCATGAACAAAAATTTTTTTAAACTTTTTCCTGGAAAATTTCAAATTTTTGGGGGAAAGCCATTGATGAAATCAATTGCTTACTTTTAATAGCTATACTATTCATTATTTCGTATTATTAAAATCCTATATTCATTCACAAGTTTTTCAAATTTAAAAAAAAATAGATATCTTTTTTATATGGATTTTTTCGCTGTGTGGGGCACAGGTACACTATGTGTCCCCTTTCCACCAACAATAATTATAGTTCTGGTATTTGACATTGCAGAGAATCGGTGCTCTTACTGTTGATTTGGAAATGACGTATTTCCGTCCACAGGCCTCGATCAATGTGTCCGTGCTACCTTTTTTGTTAAAATCATTTTGCAGGGTTACTGAATACTTTAAAATAAACCAAAATAACTTATAACAAAGTTGTCAGCAACCTAAAATGCATTAGCCATCGTGAAATTAATTTACAAGTTAAAATATTTAATACCTCGTCATTACAGTTTGCATCTGGACAACCAGGGTAGCAAAATTCTTGATCCTATTTTGTAAGTTTTATTATAAATTCCACCTGAATTTGAAAATATCCCTACAACTTTTTTTTCCTGGTGGTTTCCAATGCAGAAAGTAGAATGGCAGATTTCAGGCAGAGTGCAAACAAATTGGTTCCTCTGACCGCACCCATCTTCCTTCAAATGAAACGAGCTTCTCTCTCTTCAAATATATCTTATTGTTAGTTTTTCAAATGGTTTTATATTACTTTAATAAATTTAAACCTCTTGTAGATAAAGCAGCTGATCGTGGTTGTATTCTGTAGTCTGCTAGTATTTATGATTGGTGACCAAACTTGCTCCAAATTTGGAGAATCTTTTGTATTAATAATAAAATGTCACAGTCAATTTTATAGGAAGAAAAAACAAAATTAATACTTATTTTTATTTTTTCAAGTTGCGAAATTTCAATGTCAAAATTTAGTCCATGCAGGCGACAAATCTTTTCTGCCTCAAATCTTGATTGCTGAAGTATTATATATATATATATATATAAATTATAAATTAGAATCAATTTTCGAAAACCGTACGTGTACATTCTCAGGAAAATAATACAAAGGCAAAGCGCCGCTCTGCCTCAGTTGAAGTCCCTTAACTATACCTATTTTTTTTTAATCACTCATTTACAATTATTTCATTGATACTCTTTCTCCTGCAAACATCCAAAACTTCTCTGCTCTGCTTAAATTTTTGGTGAAATTTTTTTTTTAAATATTAACAATAAGTTTTGTCTAAGAACCTCTGATAAGCAATTGACAACTTTTTGTTTAGGTGTAAATACAGCCTCGCGAAATTTAGGTTTGGTTGAAAGTGAGTCGATCTTTCTCTCTTGGAATAAAGTCCTGCACGTTTGAAGGCATTGATATTCGCGAGATTTCTGCCTCCAACTGAAATCCATATCTGATTTAAAATTAAACAAAATTGCATAACTTGGGCTTCTAAAATCACTGTCGAAAAGGTTATTTTTTAAGTCAGAAAGGCATTCCAATTCTTCAGCCATCATGTTCTGAGATACCTTTTGTAAATTAATCATGTTTACTGCTTAATTTAAAAAAAAAATAAATATTTACCACGGTAAACCAGAAAATAAGAAAAGAGGTAATATCCCTGGAAAAATGCAGCTCCGTTCGCATTGCTGGGCTGATACACCACTATCATGTGCATCTATTATAGATGTAACGTTTTTGCTTTTCGAGCAACACTGCTCTCCACTACAGGAAAAATGTTTTACGTCAAAATTTTTATGCGTGTCGTCCCGTCACCAGCACGCCCTATGCTTTCAAAATATTTTTGACGAAAATCATTAATTTTATGTTCCAGTTGAAATATTGTGGGTGTGCATTTTGTGTCAAGAACAAATTTTCATTGCCAAAATAATAATATCAAAAGTGCGACTTAAAAAGATCCAAACTTTTATATTTATGAATATAAGGTTTTACTTACACTGGATCAGAATAATAGCAAGGAAGCAGGGAAAATTTAATCAGTTTAAAAATTCGATCAAAATCAAAATTTAATTTTTAATTTAAAAAAATTGTTGTTGTATAAAAGTGCCTTTAAAAAAATATTCAAATTGAATTGTTTGAATTTTTAGAATAGTCGTTGTAAAAGTTTAATGTTGATTACCTTTGTATTCTTTGTAATAATGTGATATTTAATAAAATTATTAAAACAAGAAATTGTAATTTTCAGTAATATTCTATTTTTAATCAAAATCATTCCAATAAATTATTCTAAGTTGGCATTACTTCCTCGCAAATGTAATAAAGGGCAGTTTTGCAACCTGCCTTGCCAAAAGTGAATTTCGATGTGACGTTGTCGTAGTCGGCATAGACGCACTCCTTGCTCGGGTCTTTTGACGGTTCCCCTGGTGCCCACATAATGTGGTCACCAATCAAAGGTTCGTCTCTGCTGTTGCACCAACGGTTTATGTTTGGACAGCCGAAGGATGCGCCTGAAACCCAGTACCGATTCTTTGCGACCTTTTTCTCTGAAATTAAAATAGAAATTCTATTAAATATTATAAAAATAACTTGTTGTCTGACCTCGGAAAAGGTTTTCCAGGCACGTTTGTTTTTCTTTTGTTTCAAATGTCAATAATGTGCCGTTGCTCACGCAGCACCATTTGTATCCCCCAATAAAGGTATTCTTAGAAAATGAATTGAGAAAAAATATTAGATTTAATGTGTAGAGAAACCTTCATAGATCCTTGATTTATGCCAATGCCTTTTAATCCACAGCCAGATATAACAAAGATTCCTTTCATGTAATTCGCATCTACCAAATTTTATTAAAATATTTATAGGCAAGTTTGAAGTTAGTGCATATTGCTTCATTACTTATTCCCTTGTACACTGATTTAGCCAATCCAATCTTGCACATTAAATTTAATATTAATATGTATATCATAAAATGCCTTTGATTCTTCTAGACCTCATAAGAGCATTGGATCTGCAAGCACTTCGTCTGTGTGCAATTCTTTGGATGTTCACTCTGATTTTTTTTAGTATTTATATATATGTTTTAAATTATTTGAAACAATTTTCCGACCTCGCACAAAGTCCTTTTGTTAACTCTGCGCTCTTCGCTCTGGAAAACCATTAGTCCTTCTTGGTCTTCCAAAGCTTTGACCAAAAGCCCAGACTTTTTACCGCCCTCGGTGGACAAACTCAGATTCAGGGCCTCCTGATTCACAAATTCCCCACCAGAACACCAGGTGTATGATTTGCTGTCCTGGCAAGGTTCCAAGTCACCTGAGGTCCACAATAAGATATTTGCCAATTTTCTCTCTGATTTTGGTTACACTGAATAAACGGGCAAATTTTTAAAATTTAAAATGTTCACTTTTCAATTCGGTGGCCAGGCAACTCGCTTCTTGATTCGTCTCCAAGCTTGCCAGTTCCATGAATCTGGAACAGCAGAACGTTGGCGCGTAGCTACGATTGTGCTGAAAATGAACAATATAAAAAAATATTTTCAACGTTTCCTGGTAAATTTCCAATTCATCGGGGAATAATAATTGATGAAATTAATTGCTTACTTTTTCTATTTTAATTATTTCATATTATTATAATTGTATATTCTTTCAAAAATTTTTCAAATTTTATAAGAAAATACAACTTTTTTTATGGATTTGTTGGCTGTATGGGGCACAGGTACACTGTGTGACCCTTTTCCACTAACAATAATTATAGTTTTGGTATTTGACATTGCAGAGAATCGCTGCACTTACTGCCGACTTGGAAATGACGTATTTCCGTCCGCAGGCCTCGATCAATGTGTCTGTGCTACCTTTTTATGAAATTTAAAATGATTTTGCAGGTTACTGAATATTTTAAAATAAAACAATATAACTTATAACAAAGTTTTCAGCAACCTAAAATGCATCGTGTATCGTGAAGTTAGTTTTTAAGTTTAAATTTATATATAATACCTCGTCATTACAGTTTGCATCTGGACAACCAGGGTTGCAAAATTCTTGACCCTTTTTTGGTAGTTTAATTTAAAGTTCTTCTGAATTTGGAAATATTTTTACTCCCTTTTTTCCCTGGTGGTTTCCAATGCAGAAAGTAGAATGGCAGATTTCAGGCAGAGTGCAAACAAATTGGTTCTTGTGACCGCACCCATCTTCCTTCAAATCAAACGAGCTGCTTTCTCTTCAAATAAATCTTAGTTTTTCAAATCATTTTATTTTTATTTCTAATAAATTTAAACCTCTTGTAGATAAAGCAGCTGATCGTGGCTGTATTTTGTAGTGTGCTAGTATTTATGATTGGAGCCCAAACGTGATCCAAACTTGGAGAGTCTTTTGTTTGAAAATAATAACAATAAAATTTATTTGAGGAAGAAAAAGCGAAATTAATACTTATTTTGATTTTTTCAAGTTGCGAAATTTCAATTTTAAAATCCAGTCCATGTCGGCGACAAATCTTTTCTGCCTCAAATCTTGATAGCTGAAGTTTTAAGTGATTCAAATTACAAATCAGAATTAATTTTATAAAACCTTACATGTACATTCTCGGGGAAATAATATAAAGGTAAAGCGCCGCTCTGCCTCAGTTGAAGTCCCCGAACTATACAAATGTTTTTTTAATTTCTCATCTACAATTAATTTATTAATACTCTTTCTCCTGCAAACATCCAAAATTTCCCTACTCTGCTTAAATTTTCGGTTAATTTTTGGAAAAAAAATATGTATCGTCTAAACCTCTGATAAGCAATTGACAAATTTTTGTTTAGGCGTAAATACTGCCTCTCGAAATTTAGGTTTGGTTGAAATTGAGTCGATCCTTTTCTCCTGGAATGAAACCCTGCACGTTTGAAGGCATTGATATTCGCGAGATTTCTGCCTCCAACTGAAATCCATGTCTGATTTAAAATTAGACAAAATTGCATAACATGGGCATTTTAAATCACTTTCGAAAAAATTATTTTTGAAGTCAGAAAGGCATTCCAATTCTTCAGCCATCATTTTTTGAGGTACCTAGTGTAAATTAACCATGTTTACTGCTTAATTTGAAAAAAAAAATATATATAATATTATGTACCATGGTAAACCAGAAAATAAGAAAAGAGGTAATATCCCTGGAAAAACGCAGCTCCGTTCGCATTGCTGGGCTGATACATACCATCATGAGCTTCATATTTTATATAGCATTTTTGCTTTTCGAGCAACATTGCTCTCCAGTACAGGAAAAATGTTTTACGTCAAAACTTTTATGCATGTCGTCCCGTCACCAGCACGCCCAATGCTTTCAAAATATTTTAAACGAAAATCATTAATTTTATGTTCCAGTTGAAATATTGTGGGTGTGCATTTTGTGTCAAGAACATATTTTCATTGCCAAAATAATAATGTCAAAAGTGCGACTCAAAAAATCCGAACATTTATATTTATGAATAAAACTGGATCAGAATAATAGCAAGGAAGCAGGGAAAATTTGCTAAGTAAAAATTCGATCAAAATCAAAATGTAATTTTTAATTTAAAAAAAAATTGTTGTTGTATAAAAGTGCCTTTAAAAAAATATTCAAATTGAATTGTTTGAATTTTTAGAATAGTCGTTTTAAAAGTTTAATGTTGATTACCTTTGTATTCTTTGTAATAATGTGATACTATCATATTTAATAAAATTATTAAAACTAGAAATTGTAATTTTGAGAAATAATCTATTTTTAATCAAAATCCTTTCAAGTTGACGTTACTCTCTCGCAAATGTATAAGTATAAGTTAGATTTGCATCCTGCCTTGCCAAAAGTGAATTTCGATGTGACGTTGTCGTAGTCGGCATAGACGCACTCCTTGTTCGGGTCTTTTGACGGCTCCCCTGGTGCCCACACAATGTGGTCACCAATCAAAGGTTCGTCCCTGCTGTTGCACCATTTGCCTATTAATTTCGCACAACCAAGCGAGGCGCCTGAAACCCAGTACCGATTCTTTGGCACGTTTTTCTCTGTAATTCCAAAATATAATTTTTCAAAATAGTTTTTTTAAAACTTATCTAACCTCGGAAAAGGTTCTCCAGGCACGTCAGTTTTTCTTTTGTTTCAAATGACAATAATGTGCCGTTGTCCACACAGCACCACTTGTACCCGCCAAAAAAGGAGTACTTTAAATACATTATTTAAAAAAAAAAATATTTTTGCAAAATGAATGAACCTTCATATTTTCGTAATTTATTTCTATATCTTTTAACCCACAACCAGAATAAAAGAGGAATCCAAATTTGTAGCGCGTCTCTGCAGGATAAAATATGAATAATGAAAAACAAATTAACTAGCACCAATTTCTCCATTACTGATTCCCTTGTACACTGATTTAGCCAATCCAATCTTGCAAATTAAAGTTAATATTAATATGTACAGTATATCATAAAATGCCTTCGATTCTTCTAGACCTCATAAGAGCATTGGATCTGCAAGCACTTCGTCTGTGTGCAATTCTTTGGATGTTCACTCTGATTTTTTTAGTATTTATATGTTTTAAATTATTTGAAACAATTTTCCGACCTCGCACAAAGTCCTTTTGTTAACTCTGCGCTCTTCGCTCTGGAAAACCATTAGTCCTTCTTGGTCTTCCAAAGCTTTGACCAAAAGCCCAGACTTTTTACCACCCTCCATGGACAAACTCAGGTTCAGGGCCTCCTGATTCACAAATTCCCCAGCAGAACACCAGGTGAATGATTTGCTGTCCTGACAAGGTTCTGAGTCGCCCGAGGTCCACAACGTGATGTTGGCCAATTTTCTCTCTGATTTTGATACATCGAATATACGGGCAAATTTTTAAAATTTAAAAAGTTCACTTTTCAATTCGCTGGCCAGGCAACTCGCTTCCCGTTTTGTCTCCAAGCTTGCCAGTTCCATGAATTTGGAACAGCAGAACGTTGGCGCGTAGCTGCGATTGTGCTGAAAATAAAGTTTTGTATTTTGTATTGAAGAGACGGCCACATGCACTCACTGCAGATTTTGAGATAATGTACTTCCGTCCACAAGCTTCGATCAATGCGTCCGAATCACCTTTTTCACATTTCACAGTTCAGTTTTATATAATCTGAAAGTAACTCACTTATGCCAAAGTTTTCCGACACCTGCACGATGAAACATCAAAAATAAAATCTGAAGTTGTCTGTAATTATTTTATACCTCTTCATTACAATTTGCATCAGGACAACTGGGATAGCAAAATTTCTGCTCCTTTTTTAATTAGATTATTGTATTTTATTTTCAAACGTGGAAAATCAAACGTACTCTCATTTTTGCTTGGCTTTCTGTGCAGAAAGTAGAATGGCAGATTTCTGGCAGAGTGCAAACAAATTGGTTTTTTTGCGCACATCCATCTTCTTTTAAAACAAATGAACCGTTCTCTCTTTAAACAGACCTTGTAATCAGTTAAACAGACTAGCTTGTGAATAAATTTTAACCTTATGTAGATAAAACAACTGACCAGGGTTTCATTTTGCACTCTGATAGTTTTTATAATTGGTGACCAAGCCTGATCGAAATATGGAAAGTCTTTTTTTTTCAAATATTAGCTCATTTATGCAGCATTTTTGAATACAAAATTTAAATAAAATACCTATTCTGAGTTTTTCCATTTGTGGAATTTCTATGTCAAAATTTAGTCCGTGCAGACGACAAATCTTCTCTGCCTCAAATCTTGATTTCTGAAATGTTTAATTATTGATAGGTCAGTGGAATTAAATTTATAATTTTATTCACTTGCATGTACATTCTTTGGAAAATAATATAGAGGCAACGCACCGCTCTGCCTCAATTGCAGTCCCCTAACTATATGAATAATTTTCATTTTGATTTTTCTATAAATTCTGCTTTACTTTTTCTTTTGCAAACATCCACAATCTCTCTCCTCTGATTGAATCATTAGATTATTTGTTACATTAATAATTTTTATATAATTATATTCACCTCCAAAAGGCAATTGACAAAGTTTTGCTTGGGTGTGAAAACAGGCTCGCGAAATTTAGGTTTGGTTGAAAGTGTGTCGATATATTTCTCCAGAAATAAAATCCTGCACGTTTGAAGGCATTGATACTCACGGGAACTCTGCCGCCAACTGAAATCCGACTCTAATTTAAAATTTGAATTAATAATATGTCTTGAGAATTTTTTTATAATCCAGCACCGTCAAAGAAGTTTTGTCTTAAGTCGGAAAGGCATTGCAATTCTTCAGCCATTATATTTTGTGTCACCTTTTATAAAATGAATTATATTTTCTGCTTATTAAATCAAAAAATATTTACCACTGAAAAGAACAAAATAAAAAATGCGGACAAGTCCATGGGAAAACGCCGCGCCGTTCCTGTGGCCGCGCAGATGCGAACTATTTTGTGTATAATTTTTGGGCCTTTTGATGAACGCAACTCTGCTCATTCCGGGAATAATCATTTGCGTCACAACTTAAAAGTCCTGTCCGCAGCTCGTCGGATGCTTACTAATAAAATAAAATAAATTTATTGTTTTTTCAAGTTAAAATACTAGGAGGATTATACTAGAAAAATATTGAAATAGTTTATTCCAAATAAACAGGTAAATTTAAATGCTTAATTTACAAGCGCAAAAGTTAAAAAAAAAAACTTTTATACCAAATTGAGGAAATAATTTTTCGTTAAATTAACGCAAATATGTTAATAAAGTGTTTTTACAAAGCAGAACTTACGTTTTTCCACCGGGGGAAATCAATTTTTAGAACTCAATCATATAAAAGTTTTTTGTGCTGAGAAATGATGTGTTCGACCAACACGGTGACTTCCGTGGCTGCGACCATCGCCGATGTGACAAAAAATAGTGACGGCGAATTGTAACCAATGAGAAGCGAAAATTGCCACTTTTCGCAAGCGACGACAGGGGACAAGAAATGTTTTACTAAAAATGGGTGGAAATAATTGCAGTGCATCCGACAATATAGTCGTTATTTTAAATTTAAACATAATCAGCTAAATTTGATAATTGATTTAAATAATTGGCTTTTCATGTAAATGATTCGCTGTGTTACAAATTGAAAAATTTATTTGATTGCGATCTGAATTTAAAGTCGGCGTTTCCTTGACGAATTTTGTGAGTTTGTTTATTATTTAAGAAAAAACATTGCTGCTCTAAATGATAATTTTGATAATTTAGTATTTTTAACAAGTTTTATTTAGTTGTTGTTTTTTTATGGACCGCTTGTATAAATTTGATATTACTATTTGATACAATTGTTGAAATAAAAATAGAATTTTAAGAAGCATTCTATTTTTAATCAAAATTATCCCAATAAATTATTTTACATTGGCATTATTCCCTCGCAGATGAAGAAAATGGAAGTTTTGCACCCTGCCTTGCCAAAAGTGAATTTCGATGTGACGTTGTCGTAGTCGGCATAGACGCACTCCTTGTTCGGGTCTTTCGACGGTTCCCCTGGTGCCCACATAATGTGGTCACCAATCAAAGGTTCATCCCTGCTGTTGCACCATTTGCCAATAAATTTCGCACAACCAAGCGAGGCGCCTGAAACCCAGTACCGATTCTTTGGCACGTTTTTCTCTGTAATTCCAAAATATAATTTTTCAAAATAGTTTTTTTAAAACTTATCTGACCTCGGAAAAGGTTCTCCAGGCACGTTAGTTTTTCTTTTGTTTCAATTGACAATAATGTGCCGTTGTCCGCGCAGCACCACTTGTACCCACCAAAGAAGGTGTTCTTTAAATTTATAAATTCACCCAAACATTTTTTTGACAAAACTTGTAAACAAACCTTAATATTATCGTGATTAATATCAATTTCCTTTGACCCACAACCAGAGGTGAAGAGGTATCCAATTTTGTAACGTGCCTCTGCAGGATTTAATAAAAAATATGAAGATAATTGAAGTTTGTGCTTGTTTCTTCATTACTGATTCCCTTGTACAATGATTTTACTAATGCAATCTGTGAAAATTAAATTTGATAAAATTGCATTCTTTTATATTAAATTATTTCAGACCTCGGCAGAACATTGGATCTGCAAGCACTTCATTTGCGTACAATTATTTGGATGTTCACTCTAATTTTTATGTTAAATTTATTTAAAATAAAAATGTTTAAAAAATTTATCAACCTCGCACAATGTCCTGCTCTTGCGAACATACCTATCTTCACTTTGAAAAACCATTTGACCCTCTCGGTCGTCCAAAGCTTTCACTGAAAGCGCAGACTTTTTACCACCCTCCGTGGACAAACTCACGTTCAGGGCCTCCTGATTCACAAATTCCCCAGTAGAACACCAGGCGAAGGATTTGCTGTCCTGACAAGGTTCTGAGCCACCCGAGGTCCACAAAGTGATGTTGGTCAATTTTCTCTCTGTTTTCTCCACTGAATAAACGGACAAAATTTAGAAATGGAAAATGGTCACTTTTCAATTCGGTGGCCAGGCAACTTGCTTCTCGTTTCGTCTCCAAACTTGCCAGTTCCATGAATCTGGAACAGCAGAACGTTGACGCGTAGCTGTGATTATGCTGAAAATAAATAAATTTTTTCAATTGACAATGTATAAAATGATAAATATATAATAAACAGCCTAAACTAACAGTTGATTTGGAAATAACGTATTTCCGTCCGCAACCTTCAATCAATGTGTCCGCGTCACCTTTTTCATATTTCACAGTTTATTTAATTAAGAAATATCAAAATCACTCACTCATCCCCAAGTTTTCTGGCACCTTTAAAGCAATATCAAGTAATAAAAAGGAAGAAGTCTTGTTGTTAATTTTTACCTCGTCATTACAATCGGTGTCTGGACAACTTGGATAGCAAAATTCCTGCTCCTTTTATTTAATTAATTCATTTAACTTTTCACGCGTAGAAAACTTAAAATTATTACTCTCATTTTAGCTTGGTTTTCTTTGCAGAACGTAGAATGGCAGATTTCAGGCAGAGTGCAAATAAATTGGTTCTTTTGCCCGCATCCATTTTCTTTCAAAACAAAGGAGCTGTTCTCTCTGAAAATAGATTTCAGTTTAAGAGACTAGCTTTTGAATAAATTTTAACCTAACGTAGATGAAGCAGCTGACCAGGGTTTCATTTTGCACTCTGATAGTTTTTATGATGGGTGACCACGCTTGACCTAAATTTTTAGAAGTCGCTTTTACTGTCAAAGTTTCATTTTGCTAATTTGAAAGCAATATTAAAACGAATTACCTATTTTCATTATTTCCAATTGTGGAATGTCTATGTCAAAATTCAGTCCGTGCAGACGACAAATCTTTTCTGCCTCAAATCTTGATTTCTGAAATATTAATATATTATTGGAATTTTAAATGACACATTTACTTATTTAAAAGCTTGCCTTCAAGTTTTCAGCAAAGTAATATAAAGGTACAGCGCCGCTCTGCCTCAATTGAAGTCCCCTAACTATAAAAATAATTATTTAATTTGGGCTTTTTTTAAATTAATTTTTCAATACTTTTTCTCTTGCAAACATACACAATTTCTCTTCTCTTTTTGGGATTAGTTAGTTCATTGGTGTAAATTATTAAAAATACAAACAAACCTCCGTAATGCAATTGACAAATTTTTGCTGGGGTTTAAATACAGGCTCGTTAAATTTAGGTTTGGTTGAAAATAAGTCAATCCTTTTCTCTTGAAATAAAATCCTGCAGGATTGAAGGCATTGATATTCGCGAAAGTTCTGCCTCCAACCAAAATCGATCACTAAATTAAAATTTGTCAAAAAATTTTGAAAAATAAACCAACCATAGCAAGTAATGTTATATAACATTACGTGCCTTGGTGGTTTTTTTTAATCACCGCCAAAGAAATCTGGTCTTAATTCTGGACGACACTGTAACTCTTCAGCCATCAGGAATTCTGCAGATACCTTCAGTAAATTTGATCTTACCTATTTAAAGAAAAAAACAAATGAATAAAATTAATTCACCATGGCAGTGTATAAAATCATAAAAGCGCTTGAAAACCGCTGCTGTGTTCTCATGGCTGGACTGGTGCACAACTGTACGAGTCTGACAAATCCCTTCCGGTAAAAATTATTTCACAATTCACGCCAAAACTTTGATGCTTGCCTGCTTTTTTGTCATCCTCTCGTCCGTCTATATTTTTGGCAAAAATAAAGTTTATAAAATCAGGAAAATTGTATTTGAAATTACACCAATTCACAATCAACACTGGCTGAGCTTAAGCTAGATGATTTTGTTCCCAAGACGATAAGAAAAATTTCAGTTTTAAATGGGACCTTTTGAATCAACTTTTAATCCGTTTTTTAATAATTCATCAAGTTTTACTCGTTTAAAAATATGTTCTGAATAAAACTCATTTCAAAAAGGGGCAAACCCGTTTTACGCGTTTCCGTTTATCAAGATTCTAAATTTTACAAGCAAAAAAATTGAAACTGATAAACTTTCATGAAATTTGCCGTTATATTTATTTATACCCATTTTTTTTTTTAAACTGAACCGAAGTTTTCCCAGCGATGAAATTAAATTTGATTCGTAGCAAGTGTGCTGAAAAAAATTAAGTTTTAGCCAACACGGTGACTTCCGTGGCTGGCCGTCGCCGATGTGACAAATGGAGCCGGCGAAGCGACCAATGAGAAGCGAAAATTGCCATTTTTCGCCAGCGACGGGAGGGGACAAGGGGCTGAAAATTTGCATACTCTCTTCCACCCCTCACAGTCTGGCGGCGACGTCGCTTTCTTCCGTGTATTTCTATATACAAAATTTTTTTCCACCGTGCACGAAGAAGAAGTACAAGCATTGAAAAAAGTGGTATAGTGACGGTGGTTCCATCTACGTCGGCTGAATCTCGATTCCCCACCGTTGTGGCGCGAGGAGGTGGCGAAGGAGAGTCGGTTCGAGCCGCGGCTCCTTCGTTGTTCGGGCCCTCAGTGTGTTTCGAGAGTCCGAGCTGCGAGGCCCCGCTCGCTCTCATGGCCACGTGAGCCTGTGTGTGGATTGTTGTTTTGGCGATGGAGTGACGTCGGCAGAAGTTGTGTCGAATCCAGATAGAGAGAAGGTCCATTATTTGTTGAACAGTTTTTTAACGAAAACGCCGAAAGCCGCCGCCATGGGTTGGTTGCCGCCGAGCGTCGGCAGAAGAAAATTTAGTGATGTGTTGGATCCGGCGTCGATCCTTATGCGAATTCTTCTCGTGGTTTTCGCGATACAGACCTTGTTAATTAATTCCTCGCTAGTGAGTGGCAGCAAGTCTTTTTCCATCCATTGGAATACGTCGAATTCAATGTGAGTACCGAGAAAAGTTGAATATTTTTAAATAATCTCAATAGCGCAAGGAAATTTTTTCGAAAATATAATTTGTGAAAAAATTAAATGCCAAATTAAAACTATTAAGGATAAGGAAGAGGCTCTCTGCTTGCAAGTAATATTTTGTAATTTATAATGGCTAATTATTGCTTTTGACTACTTTAATAATATTTTATTTTTAATTAAAAAAAAATTAGATATTTTTCTTTCAACGCAAGTTTTGAATTTGGAAAGAGAGTAAAAAGATTTTACACAATTATATTAGAAATATATTATATTTAAATAATAAAAAAATGTTATAAAGACTTTAAATTAGACGGGTAATTAATTTAAATGACTTAAATAAATTAACAAACTGTAATATAAACATTTTTATAATTAAGTGCAAATATGTTATTTTCTTTTCTGTATTAACTTATTTTTAACAAATGTTGTTATAAAAGAGGATTTCAGCAACAGCATCGATTAAATTCAGTTTTGACGCAGAAATTCCGCCTCGTTTGAGCTCTTTCAGTTTTTTCCCGTCATAAACCAGCAAGCAGTTTTGAGACAAAAAGTGGAGAGTCACAAACCAAAACCACTCGGCGTCGGCTCACTTGAAGCAAAAGGCAGAAAAACGCCGTTTCATTTTTTCTCGCAATTGAGAGCCGCGGCTGCCATTTAGCACCCAATGGAGCGAACCAGACACACATCTCGCCGCAGTTTGGTTTTGAAACGGCTCTGGTGACGATTGCGAAATTAATTCGCTCGCTTGATTGGTCTTTTATTTCAAATTACACACAGGTGCAATTTTTTTCCTCTCGCGCCAGATTTATATAAATTTATTAAGAGCTTTGGACAAATGCGCTGCCGTTTTGTGACTGCGCCTTCTGCGGTGAAAGTTGCCGGACTGGATTGAATTTGCTCTTATTACATCAGAAGTTAGTCTCGATCAAATATATTTATCTTTCTTCGCAGCCGCAATTATAATAATTATGATCCAGAGAGAGAGAAAGAGAGATTTACAGCTGATCTGGAAATGATATAAATCTCGGCTGTGCGGAAACTTTTGCTTATTGCGCAGATTGTGTCATTCTTTCTTTTCTTTGGATAAAAGATTTATAAATTATGGTTTATTGAAGTGTGCGCTCTAATTTTAATCGGCGCTCGTAAAACTAAAAATGCTGTCCGCCGTGCCGGACCGTTGCAACTATATAAAAGAGAACATCTGCTTTTAATTGAGTTTCGCTGCGACTTGATTAAGACAGTCGTCGTAAAAATATGGAAATCAGGTGTCATTCAAGTAGTAAATTCGAAGCCTGTCTTTACAGCAACATAGTCGTCCTATTCCAATTAAAAACATAAAACAAGACTAAATTATAACACCAGAGTCCAGTTAAAAATGCAAATATTTTTATTGCTGGACTGTTATTTGACAAGCAAATCACACAAAATATGCCAAAGAGAAATTTTTTAACAATCTTCTCTCCTTCAAAAATTCAGATTTTATAAAATAATAAAATAATAATTTTTCATTTTAAGTGGTTTTTGGAATAAATAATTATAATTTGCATACCAATTTTTCAATATAATTTACAGACTTTAGACAAAGCACCATTTTTTATGTGAAATATTGAATGGCCTCATCAATCAATCTATATGTTGTGCAACAATTTATTTAATTTGTCTTTAATTCATTTTGCGATTTTGAAATATTTCAACTAGAAATTGAGAGATTTATTACTAGAGATTTTTTTTGTCAGAAAGAATATGATTTTTGTAAGCGTTGCTAAGACTTTTGGCTACCTTATAATTTCACAAACGGTGCATATTAAGACAAATTAACCAACATCACTCAAAAGGCTAAAATTAGGAAAGATTTACTACCGGCTGATTAGAAAAGGCCAACTTTTCTCCGAATTATTCCCACTGCCCGTAAAAGGGTTCCCGGCGATAAATTAGACGCAAAGAAACAGTTGCACCTCGCCTCCGCGAACAAAAAGCAGCACACGCTCGAGGGGTTTATTTTATTTTATTCTTTTTTCCATCATTTCATCCTTCCGCCGCGTCCAATTCATCAAATCCCACCGCTAATAATGATAATTTCCGCGGCACAAAAACCGAAAAGGGGCCATCCGATATATTTTTATTGAGTCAAATTTATTATTTGTGCGGTTTCTGCCGCTTTTCCAGCAGCAGCCACCTTTGATAATTACAATAATCCTGAAACCGCGCGCGTCGCCTGCCCGGCAAAAAATATATTTATAGTCGTCGTAATTATCGGTCGAATGTAATTTTTATCGTTGAAAAGGAGAGGAGGTTCGGGAAAGGATGCACAATAAATAATCTTCTCTCCGTTGTCATTATCGGTCTGCGGTTTCGTCTGAGCCTCTCTCCGTTACTTTTGAAGAAAGAATTTACCCGCGAGTGAGCTCGGAAGTGCATGCAATAATTATCGGTTTTAATTTGAGCGCACGCACCCTCGTGCAACAACAACAAAGGAGGCTATAAATAATAATGGCCCGATGAAAATGAGCATGCAAATCTAACTGTAAAAACGCCAGGTAAACAAATACCAAAGTATAGATAAAACTGTGAAACCGCTGAGACCATTAGTTGATAGTTTGGAAATTATTAGGAAATAAATTTTGCCACATCATGAATCCAAAGGCGATTAAGCATGGAGCATGGATAAAAAGCAAAACTGTTAAATGAAATTAATTTATTAGGAGTAAAAATCAATAAATTTATTGATAAATTGTATATAAGAGTGAATTTTCAACAGAATCAAAACTGAGTGATTTTTGACTTTTTAAAAATTAGAAGTATCAAAAAAATTAATAAATAAAGGATATGATTTTTGCCGGTATTTTACTCATTTTTTTTTTAAATTGTATTTTGTAAGAGTTTTCAAAAATATTGTGTTAGCTCATAATTTTCCAGACCTAAATTAATAAAAATTTTATTAAATCAACGTAATCCCACTCTAGTTAGAAAAATTACATTGAAGAGTAATTAATTGACCTTAATTAATTTCATAGGAAACATTTTGGTAACAATTTTTACATTGTAGATATTTTAAGTCAAATTTCTATAATTAAATAGATCTGTTCTTAAAAAATATTTTCTTGAATTGAAAGTGTTCATGAATTTGAATAAGAAAGCAACATCATTTATGTAGCAAAAAGTGAAATCTCTCAATTAAAATTTAACAAACTCATCTCCAAACTGTCATTTAGTTTAATTTGCATGTGCGACAGACTTTTTATCTCTTTTTTTTCAACGCCCATAGCTGCTTTTGTCACCTGCAGATAAAACTAGCTCGCGTGCACCCACAATGCGTGGCAATAAAGAGAGGTGGTGAAAGTGTCAAACTGGCGCGCGCAATTAGCAGCAGTGATTTGACAGTTTAATTTGAATTTTCAGCACCTTTACCTTTTATATGTGCAATATAAAGTAGCGACTTTCTCTCCGAGCCACCGATCGAGAAATAAATTTTCGGTGAGAAAAATAATCCGTTTTGCCATTTTCTGGTCTGGTGCGCGGCAATTTTCGATTTCGGCACCTCGCTGTGCAGCACGTCATGAGCGAAAGAAATTCGGTTAGGCGAAAAATTTCACGGCGGTGAGCGGGAATGCGATTGAATCTGCAGGACGGATCTAGCTAAATAGGGGTCGTAGATAAGGTCATTTGAAAATGTTCACAGGTCATGTGGAGTTTTCAATTCTATCCTATTACCACCTATTGAATTAAAAAATATATAAGTGTCAAAGGGGTTAGAAATATAAATAAAGAAGTGGGTGTAAAAATTAAATATAATGAAATAAAGCTATTGAAATTCTTGAAATTTTTGTCCTTTCATTTAGAAAAAACAAATACTTATGTATCCAGTACGCAATTTTCAGTGCTATGATATTGTATAGAGTTCTAAAAACCTGGCATTATTTATATTGATTCTGACAAATAAAAACTTTTTGGCATCAAATAAAAAAAATAAAAGAATCTTCTTTGTTAAAACACAATTTGTAAAAATTAATTAAATTTAATAAAAATAAAAAAATAAATAAATTAAAAACTAAATATATATTATTATAAAAAATACATATAATTATATTTTATTGCCAAAAAATAAACTTTGTATTAATACATATTTATTTTTGTTAGCAATTCGCAAAATATTTATTCAAAAAACAGCAAACACCTGATTCGTCGGAATTATTAATTTATTAAAAGTGAATGAAAGTAATTCAATTCGTGATTTTTTTACGTTTAATTAGTACAGCAATTCATAAGTGCACTTCATTATTATTAAAAGTGACGCATCAAACAAATTATTACGAATTACGAAACCCAAGCCTGATTCATCAGCCTAATTGTATATGCACATTTCAATTTTATGCTGTCGGCAAACAAAACAGCAAAAAGCACTCGGGCAATAATCAAACTTCACGCGTCACTTCTTCTTTCAAAACATGCATACAACCTGCATCAGCAACATGAAATTATTAACGAGGCCTGCCAATTGAAATTTTCTAATTGAGAGTCTTGTCGAGTGATAATAATAAAATTTTGCAACCAAACCCACAATGGCCAAGTGAACTGAATAAGGCAATGATTTCGACGGAGTGAAAGCAAAATCTTTATAATACTCTCGTGGAGAACAGAAATTCCTTTTCAATTCGAATGAATTTTTTCTGCCAACGGTCTCGCGCGGGCGTGCGGAATTGAATTAATGATTCTCACACATCTCCCGACCGGCCGACGACGCTCGGCAAAAATCCTGCTCTTGAATAAATTTTAGATAAGAGAGAGACCGGAGCGGCCTTTAAAATAAGTGGCAAGACGTGACTTTTCGGCCGAAACTGCTCTTCGCAGCGCCTAATGTGGGAGGAGAGAATCGCGAAATAGCAGCAGAGCGGCACTGTGTAATTTGACGCGCGTTTCCGAAATGAGTTTTGCAAAAGATAATTGTGGGTCTTTTGTTTTTAATTAAATAACAA